GCGACAAAGCGACCGTTGAAAATCATTTGAAATTTGTGTCAATACGTCATGAATAGAACGCAGCAGCAGTTTTCTGTCGGGGATTTGTCGTGCCGCGCAGCATCCAGTATAGTAGACCATAGATATGTATATCTATGGTGTAGACAGCATCACTGATTATGAGTTCTATAGTATTTTGTCACGCCGCGCCACTCGCGTCCGGTGTAGACACGGTGTAACATTGGTTTTGCTTTGTTTCACAGAACTAATCGTTGCCTGGGTTGCGTACGTATGTGTGGGGCGGAGCTATCAAAATAGGGGCGAGACCCTTTTGGGGTAGGGGCGTGTTTGTTTTGGTGATTTCAAATGTCAACATTGGCTACCAGAAATTGCTTACCCCACCTTTAAAGGAATAGTTCACCCAAAAAAATAAAATGTACTCCGCCTGATGACATCTAAAATGTAGATGAGTTTGTTTCTTCATTTAAAGAGATTTGGAGAAATTTAGCGTTACATCACATTTTCTCCAATGGATCCTCTGCAGTGAATGGGTGCCGTCAGAATGAGAGTCCAAACAGCTGATAAAAAAATCACATTAATCCACAAGTTACCCATATGACTCCTGTCCATTAGTTAATGTCTTGTGAAGTGAAAAGCTGCATGTTTGTAAGAAACAAATCCATCATTAAGGCGTTTGACTTTAAAATGTCGCTTCTGGCCAAAATACGAGTCCTTAATCCCTAATAACACTTCATCCAGTGGAAAAAGTCCATCCTCTGGTGTCCTTTTACATCAAAATTCACCGATATATTTGATTAGACCTGTTTGTTTTGAACTGTTTTGGACTGTTTTCATTTGTAAACTGTGCTTGATCTGTGCATATTTCTCTCCTGATTCATACGAGACAACTTTTTCACTGGAGAAAGAAATATTATGCATAGAGGACTCATATTTTGGTCGAAAGCAACCGTTTAAAGTTAAAAACGTCATGATGGATTTGTTTCTTACGAACATGCAACTTTTCGCTTCACAAGATGTTAACTGATGGACTGGTTTTGTGTGGATTATTGGGGTGTTTTTATCAGCGGTTTTGGACTCTCATTCTGACGGCACCCATTCACTGCAGAGGATCCATATGAGAACAAGTTATGTAATGCTACATTTCTCCAAATCTGTTTTGATGAACAGGCAAACTCATCTACTTGTTGTAAGACCTTAGGCAGGCAAGGGCAAACTCGGTCCTGGAGGGCCACTGTCCTGCAGAGTTTAGCTCCAACCTTAATCAAACACTCTTGAACAAGCTAATCAGTGTCTTCAGGATTACTAGAAGGCTACAGGAAGTTTTATCAGGGTTGGAGCTTAACTCTGCAGGACAGTGGCCCTCCAGGACTGAGTTTGCCCATGCCTGCCTTAGAGTGAGTAAAATTTTTCAGCAAATTTTCATATTTCTGAGTGAATTATTACTTTAATATGGTTGTTTTTTGTAAAGGTTGGTTTTCTTTCATCACCCAAATGGTTTTTTAGGCTATTCTTTTTATTTTTATTTATTGGTTTTAAAAAGAAAAGATTAGCATCTAAACGCAACAAGGGGTTGTTTAAAAATAAATTAATGTTTTAATTTTCCATTTTGGTTGGCAATCAGCTTTTTCATCTTATCGTTGGTTGTGACACTATTAGCATGCGGGCAGAAATGTCAGCGCCAGATTATCATGTTTACTCAGCATATTAATATATTAGCATTTTTTTAATATGAATGCAAGATTAGCATAAACATTAGCAGCCATTAACATGCTTTTGCATATTCAAATTTGCTTACTTCGTGTACAAATGCGACGCTAATCGTTTCAGCTTTTGTTCAGTGGTTATTCCACTCAGTTCCTGTCCCAGTGGGATTTTTGATTAAGTTGATGCTGAAAAGATTCACGGTTGTTTTTAGCAAACTACCTTAGCGGTTCCTTTTAGCCGGGTGAGATTAGCATCATATGAGATTGAGCTGTACATTAACACAAATACACATCGATGCACGTTAGGGCAGATGTTCTGTGGAGGGACAGGAAGATTGTCGTCTTGTCACACTGAACCTAAAGACAGAGGCATGAGCTGCAGCAGGCTATGAAAGCTGATCACATCAGGCATGCTTCACGCGATCTCATTCTTTCTTCTTTCTGATCTCTTCCATAACATTTAGGCCTAGTTGTTGTTTTTTTTTGGCTTATCCTTTTATCATGCAGCATATTTTGTTCATTCGCATCTGCTAGCATTTCTGTATGATTTTCAGTTTGTGCAAAATCTTGGATACTGTTGGATACTTACCATATCAGTATTGGTAAATCAGTATATTAGTACCAATTGTTGATTTATACATGAACATGTTGTTAGGTCTCAGAAATTAAATATTTGGTGATATGGAATGTATTGAACATTATTGTTGTGAATTCTGCACATTTGTCACAAGATAAAGTTATCTAGCTGCCTAAAAGTATGTTGAAATTTCACAAATGACTTGTTATTGTCCCAGAAGCATCATTCATGTGACTAATGTTTTACACCGCATTGCTTTCAAGCAAAAGAATATTTATGAATATGATGTCATGCTGTTTTCCAGCTGTTATTGCAAATGTAAAAAATGTAATTTATTAATTTAGTAAATTGTTAAATCATATACGAATGTTACACCAAGCAGTTTTTTTGTACATTACATTTTTCAAGCCTGATTGTACTTAAAATTCTGGAGAGTGTTAGTATGAATGCTATTTTTGACAAAAATAATGATCAGCATTTTTTATTGGCCAAAAATTCCTAAACAGAGCATCCTTATTGTCTGTCAAATTAATGAGCAAGCATACAAAAACATACTCTGTTAAATGTTGATACCAGCACTGCCTTGTAGTCAGAAAATTAAAAGAAGCAGCATATTTTCTTCCACAAACACACACACTTGTATTTGTGCTTTCTCTGGGGAGCATGAGTGTGTATGGCTGTGGGTATGTGCTCTCAGAACCTCTTGATCTCTCTTCTGTCTTTTATGTCTCTGTGTCTACTGCACAAATGTAATAACATTGTTTTTCTTTCCTGGATTGGAGAAACAAAATGAAGGTAGAGAGCCCAGCTCTGCTCAAACGAACACCTGCTAGCGTCTCGACCTCTCTGACCTGTCTTTAATTCATCTCTGTCTCTGTTATTTCCTCTCTCAGGCTGTGCCTTCCTCACATACTGTGCAAGAGAATCGGCGCTAAAAGCTCAGACCGCGCTCCACGAGCAGAAGACGCTACCTGGGGTAGGTCATCACGGTCAAACTGGCACATAAACACACGCAAACAACAAAACACATGCACACCGGTACAAATGGATAGTTGACATATAATACTATTGGTATGTGACATGCTGAACTCTATATAAAAACCATTATAGCATTTTATTTTTTTTTTATTATGCATGCAGTATTATGAGCTCATAATAATTCGGAGCCTACATGGAATATTTGTACTTAAAAAATTGTATATATTTATTTTATATATTATAATGTACACTATCGTTCAAATTTTGGGGGCATCAGTAAGTTTAAAAAAAAATTATTATTATTAATACATTTTGCAGAATACAAGTATTAATTTATTAAGATTTCTAAAATAATAACAATAATAATAATGCGCGATGGTTTGCACAAAAATATTAAGCAGAATAATATTTCAACTTTTATAATGATAAATAAAATGTTTCTTGAGCGCAAAATCAGCGTATTAGAATCATTTCTGAAGGATCAGGTAACACTGAAGACTGGAATAGTGACTGCTGAAAAATTTGATTTGCCATCATAGGAGGAATAAATTACATTTTGAAAATGTACTACAATATAAAATGTATTTTAAATAGCAATAATATTTCACAATATTACTGTTTTTACTGTATTTTTGTTCACGTAAACAAAAAAAATCTTGCAGACCCCAAAGTTTTGGCACATATGAATGGTTGTGTGTATAAATATATATATATATAGAGAGGTCGACCGATAGTGGATTTTGCCGATACCGATAGCTAGGTTGGACCATACTGGCCGATACCGATTAATTAACCGATTGTTTTAAAATTGATACTGAACAAAAACTAAAATAGTGCTTTATTAACAAAAGCAGTACTGAACCATACTAGTAGTAGCAGTAAAAATAATAGTAATAGTAAATGTTGAAATTAACACACTCTAACAAGGAACAATACTTACACAGCTTTCATTAATCTTAATGCTACAAATGGACTCTTATTTTAAAGTGTTACCATTTCATTTCAACTGTCATGCTTAAAGATGCACATCTTTAAATATATACACAAAGGCTATAGCATTAAAATGATACACATATGGATATTTATGTATTTAGACATATAAAAAAAAATAAACAGTGCATGAATGTATTATGTCAACTACCCGAATTTACATACATTTAAAATTTTAAGCACATTGTAAATAGGTTTGGCTAGAATTTTCATGTTTTTTTTTTTTTGGCCAAAAAGTGCTAATTCTTCTTTTTTGGCTCCGTTTTCATTCTCGTCCACTCGCTTCTCGTACTCTTTCTTCCTTTTCCTCTCCATCTCTCTCTCTCTCTCTCTGGAAGAGCCTTGTACCCAAGGGCAAGAACTACACAGCACCACATTAGAGCTGTCCTATTTATAGTGTCTTTTAGTGTCTCTGAGCATGTGTGTGTGTGCGAGCATGCCGTATGAATGTCTGCAGGCGTGTGCGTGTACGTATTACTCCGTCACTCCTCTTTAGGTTAGTACAAACTTGCTGTCCCACTCTAACATTATTTGGTTGCAGTGTGTGTGTGAGTGTTTTGAAGTTGCTCGGTTTGGTGTGTTCTGTTTTAATGACGCCTCCAGGGAGAATGACAGTTGCCGTGGCGAGCGGAATGCCTTTGATGCAAGTGATTATGACATCATAGATGTTGAATGCAGGGGGAGTTTCTTTGCTGGAGTTCCACTTTCTTTCTTTTAGTGCAGAGAATATTCACTCTGTAAAACCGCTCACACAGCCATACACGTATTGCTCGCCCCCCCACCCCACAACCCCATGAATGTGTAAGTCATCATGTTAGATGTTGATTGTAATAAGAAAAACCCTTGATCGTCTTATTATGAGCACATCTATTCGCGAGAAATGCAAACGCAGCAGCTGCAAATAAATTCAATCGAAGGCTCTGCCTATCACAAATGTTTCATAAGAATACTAATTACCCAGAGGAGCGTTTTATCGCTCGGGTTGCTCATTCAGAGCTCAGGAGACTTAATAGAGTTCTTGGTTTGGTTTAATTTTAGTCTTTGTCTCGGATGTTTCTCTTATAATTTCTTAAGAGAAATATATTTTTAAAAAATGGGGGAATAGAGCTGTAAAATTAATATGGATTGTATAGCTGAGATCATTTGGGTTTGGAAGAATTTGATGAGAAATGTTGGAGCACATATTAAGATCTTAGAATTTTCTTGGCAGATCTGAGCATTGTTTGAGATATTTGTTGAGACCTATTTTGAAACATTGAGATTATGGGGGTATTTATTTATTTGTTTGTTTGTGGGAAGTACAATCTGTATAATTTAAGTATCAGAGGTATTATTATAGTGATTTTTTTATTTCATTTTTAATTTTACTTAAAGTTTTAGTAATTTTGTTATGTGTTTTTGTCATTTTTTGAAAGTTTTTTTGTTTTAATATGTCTGTATATTTAAATATATTATTTCAGGTCTAGTTTTAGTTTACCTTAGAAAATGAGAAATGTTGAATTGCTAGTTTATTGTATTTTTTATTTCAGTTTACATTTATTTTATTTCAAGTAGCAAAAATGTTTTGTTTTTTTTTAAGGTTTTAATTTTAGTTAACTATAATAACCCTATAACAATCTGAGATGCTTGATTGATATTTACAGTATAAGCAGAAATCTCCATTTGATTTCCCAATTATCTAATTTTTCTCTAGGAGAAACAGCTGATTTTTTACTTTTCATATGTACAGTATGAGCCATCATGGCCACTTCAAAGATAAACTCATTTTTATTGTGAATAGTAAATGCTTAAGTAAACAAAGAAAGAAAGAGAGAGATAGACAGAGAGAGAAAGAAGTATAAATAAATCTGGAGATGAAGAAAAGTCATTGGATCGTTTTATGTGTTTTATCTGCAGGAGAATCTTGAGCCATCCCACCATTTCTTTTCCTTTCTTTCTCTTTGTCCCCCCTCTCGGCCTTTATGCAGTAATCTCTCTCATTTTTCCACTTCACTTGACAGCTTGATGGTTTTTAGGAAAGTGCTTTTTATGTTAGAAAGTTCTGTCAAGTGCAAGAAGCCTCCCAAGCTCCAGTCAGATTGAAAGAGTCAGAGAGAGTGGGCTGCTTCAAAATCACAGCTCAAAAGCAGAGTCACTCCAAATGAATGGTGAAAAACACATTTGTGCCTGTTAGCTTAAAGCATGAATCTCTGTGATGCTTTCCTTTGTTTCGTTTGGGATCACCTCACTGACTAAAATCACATGAACAATTATATTGTGCTTATCGAGCATTTCTGCCATATTTGACATCACAATATTGCAGCTATAAAGTAATGCAGGACAGAATGTAGTGTTTATAAGTGTAATTTGGTTTAAGGTGCATTACCTACTGGTATGATAACTTAATTTCTTTGCTGGGTTATTACATGTAGGTATATAATCATTTTTCACATTTTCCAGGCTATATTCTTATGCTTTTATAACTTGTGTAATGTTAGTCAAGGTTCCTCACACCAAAAACCATCTTAATTTGGCTTTATACGACCATTTTTCCATTTTCATATGACCACTTTTCCCTTTCTGACCTTTACAGTTAAACCAGCGGTTTTGGTGCTGTACCTTTAAAGGGGTCATATGATGCGATTTAGACCGATGAGCTTTGTAAAAATCGACGCGTTTCAGAAAGGCGGGGCATAGAGGAGAAACAATAATGTACAGTATGTGGAAAATAATGTGTTTTTTTAACTTTAAACCGCATAAACACATTTCATTACACCAAATACACAAAATAATGTTCTTTTTAGCAGCATCATATGACCCCTTTAAGACTTTTGCTTGTGAATTACCTGTCGTGACTGATTATCGCAGCATGTAGGTTTAGTTTCATTCATGAAGCTGCTGGTAACTAAATATCTGTTTGTAAGTAAACATAGGTGATCATATGTTAATGTGGTGATGATTGTCAAATTGTAATTATGACGATTTCTGAATAACATTTTGCACATTTTTGCACGTGGTGCATCGAAACTGAAGCTTAAATATGAAGCAGTGTTAATTTCGTTGACGAATAATTTTTGTCGACTACATTTTTTTCACCGACAACAAGACGATAACGAACTAAAACTCTTTTTGAATGACAAAAACTAGGACGTAAATCTATTGACATTTTCGTCAACGAATAAAAACGAGACGAAAATGTTAGGGAGGGATGATTTGGGAAGAGATTCATTCAGAACGAATTTGCTGCGTGGTTCGGAGGTTAGATGCGTACATATGAACCAGCGGGACATAAGCTAACATACACTTGCTGCACATCACATAAAACTTTCAAAAATGTCAAAAGACTATGAAAACTAAATCAAAATTTGCTGTCAAAATTAACACTGGTATGAAGTACATAAAAAAGGAATTCCTTGTTAATGTTAGTTGTGAAATGTTAAAAGTGTTTCTGAAACATCTCTAATGCTCATCAAGGCAGCATTTATTGATATCATATGATCAAAAATACAATAAAACAGTAATATTGTGAAATAATATTGCAATTTAAAATAACTCTTATTTAAATTTTTATTATTTTTTTTTTAATTTTGGGGCATGGCAAAATTTTCAGCAGCCATTAAGCCATTACTCTTTCAGATATCATTCTAATATGCCGATTTAGTGTTCAAGAAACGTCTCTGTTACTTGTGTAACCCTCGTTCCCTGAAGGAGGGAACGGAGACGTTACGTCAGTCGTGACTGACGAATTGGGATCTCGCCCGAGAGCCCAATCACCTTTGAGTGTTAACTAAACAAGCCAATGACAGTTGGCGTGCGTGTTTCGCCACGCGCACCCCGCCCCGCAGCGCGGGTATAAAAGGAGAGCGCGTGCAAACGCACATCAGTTTTTCGCTGAGGAGCCGAGACTACGCGCCCCGGCCGTACAGCGGTGGTACAGCAACTGTGGCGACGGGACGTAATGTCTCCGTTCCCTCCTTCAGGGAACGAGGGTTACACAAGTAACCGAGACGTTCCCTTTCAGTCAGTCAC